GTTTTTCTTCCACGTAGTCACTAGTAAACTTTAAAAAATACGCAAAAAGGTATTAAATAAAAAGAACAGTATTCATTTCCAGGAAAACAATGGTTACATTAATGTTTGTGTGTGGTTAGCAGTCTAGTTCAGAACACATGTTTTGTTCTTCTTGGGAATCATTAGCTGGACGTACCTACATCTGCTAAAGTGTTCACAGTGCCTATCTTTTTAAACATCAGCAATGATAAAATACAATTCTTCACCAAAAATCGTGGTTTTGTTGTATAAATCGATGACTGTTAATCTTCCTATTAATATACCTTCGTTAATTCATATAACTCTTTCCGGAGTCCCTCCGGGGCTACTGCCGGTCCCAAGCCCGTATAAAGGAGGAGGGTTGGGTATGGGGTTAGCGTCCCCATCCCGTAGAAAACTAACTCACTAAAAAAACGCTAACCAGAAAAAATTATTCAAACCTTTTAACCTCTGCCCTGGGAGTCAGAAGGTCTTCATTTAGAAGAACTATGACGCCTCATGATGAAAGCCGAATTCCTTCGGAAGTTACGAGGCCGATGCCCCTTCTGACAACCAGAGCGACCATTTATTTAGGTACATGGAATGTTCGTACAATGTGGGACACGGCCAAATTGCTGCAGAAATGAGAAGATACAACCTAGAGGTGCTTGGGATCAGTGAAACACATTGGACGCAAGTTAGACAACAACGACTCGCTTCAGAGGAGGTTTTGTTATACTCAGGCCATGATGAAGAACTTGCCCCACATTCACAAGGAGTTGCATTAAAGCTTTCCAAACAATCACAAAATGCGCTTATAGGATGGGAATCTCATGAACCAAGGATCATCAAAGTCTCCTTCAAAACAAAGAAAGAGGGCATTTCAGTGGACGTCATCCAATGCTATGCGCCTACCAATGACTACAATGAAGACGCTAAAGATCAATTCTACAATAGGCTGCAGTCAATCGTTGGGAAGTGCTCAACAAAGGACTTGACTATTCTGATAGAGACCTAAATGCCAAGGTTGGAATGGACAACACCGGAAGTGAAGACATCATGGGACAACATGGACTGGGAGAAAGAAACGAAAATGATGAGAGATTTGCAAACCTATGTGCCTTCAAATAACTGGTCATAGGCGGCACCATATTCCTACATAAACGCATTCACAAAACCATATGGACTTCACCGGATCACACCACGCAAAACCAAATCGACCATATTTGCATCAACAAAACGTTCAGGAGGACTATACACGATGTGAGAACCAAGAGAGGAGCTGATATAGCATCAGATCATCACTTGCTGGTCGCCAAGATGAAATTGAAACTCAAGAAACACTGGACAATGGGGCGGACAATATCACAAAAGTTCAATACAGCCTTTCTTCAGCATACTAACAAACTCAACAAATTCAAGATAGACCTCAGCAACAAGTTCCATTCCTTTCACGATCCACTCAATGGAGAAGTAACTACTGTGGAGAGCAACTGGAAGTGGATCAAAGAGGCAATCACTTCAACATGTCATGAGGTCCTGGGTCACAAGAAGCATCATCACAAGGAATGGATTACTGTTGATACACTGGATAAGATTCAAGACAGGAGGAACAAAAAGGCAGCAATCAATACCAGTCGAACAAGAGCAGAAAAAGCCAAAGCACAAGCTGAATCCACATATTTAAACAAACAAGTGAAGAGAGTATCATAACCGACAAACGTAAATATGTGGAAGATTTAGCAACGACGGCGGAAAAAGGTGCAAGAGAAGGAAACATGAGACATCTGTATGACATTAACAAGAAACTCTCTGGAAAACGCCGCAAACCATAACGACCAGTAAAAAGCAAGGAAGGCGAGGTAATCACCAACATTGAAGAGCAACAAAACAGGCGGGTAGAACACTTCGAACAGCTCTTTAATCGACCAGCTCCACGTAACCCACCCAACCTCGAAGCAGCTCCCACGAACCTCCCAATCACGTTGGCCCACCAACAATTGAAGAAGTCAGCATGGCCATCAGACAATTCAAGAGTGGCAAAGCAGCAGGACCGGACAACATTCCAGCAGAGGCACTGAAGAAGACGTAGCGCAACTGCAAGGATACTCCACATTCTCTTAATAAGATTTGGGATGAGGAACAAGTACCAAAAGACTGTAAATAAGGACTTCTTATCAAAATTCCGAATATAGTCGCTCTCAGCAACTTTTATAACTACGGAGGCTTCACTTTTCTTTCAATACCGGGAAAAGTCTTCAACAGAGTATTGTTAAACAGGATGAAGGACTGCGTAGACGCCCAACTTCGTGACCAACAGGCAGGATTCGTAAGGATAGATCGTGTACAGACCAAATCGCAACTCTACGGATCATTGTGGAACAATCAATTGAATGGAATTCATCACTCTACATCAAC